TGATGATCCGATCTCCTGTCGAACTCTAAAAAGTTCAGAACTACGAATGGCAGCTAGCCAGGATTTAGAAACAAGCTCCAACTTTGGATAGAGGTGGAAGGGAACACGAGCGAGGCACCTAAGGGCGACAGCGTCTGGGAGACCGTCAATCAATTCAGACATAATAATCACTTTTCATTCGTTTCTGATGACTACACACCACAGGTTGTTTCTTATTCAGGAAGCAAGTAATCTGTGATGCCAACATTAGGTAACAATTTAGAAGATGAAAAGAAAGCATCTTTTAGCATACACTGACAATATGGTAACATACAGAAGAACCAAACAAAACCAACCAGTCACATGGTCTAGGAGAAAATTACTGCTTCTTATAGCATGAATTCATGTAACTGATTAGAGAAGAGTCTCCATCCTTCCTGATGATCGGAAAATCTTATGAAACTGATAATTGAACTTTTAACCTATAAACAGACACTCATGACACGACACGGTGATGGATGTACGCTTACCATGTGATGTCTATGAATGAGGTCGTTATAAGAGTTCGAAATAGATTCCAAAGTATAGAAGGTCTTAACCATCTAGAAAAAGGAAAAACTGCTTGAATGACAAGCATATGAAAAAAAGAAAGTGGATATAATGCTATTAATATAATCAATATTCAAATTTCTGACTAACACTATTGTGAAATTAACCAATAAATGGCCGGTGATCAGAAAAGAGTAATCTCATTCTCAATAAAAATGGGGTAATATTTTATACCATCAAAATCAAATTTTGATGATTAAATACATGTTTGGGAGTGGTTTTGAACATGACAAACATGAGCTAAACTTATCACTCCATACATGGGGGTTCCCATGTAAATGCATGGCATGATGTTTCTAGTTTCTAGTACCCAAGTTGGAACAGTCCAAGCCCACCGCTAGCGGATGTTATCCTCTTTGGACTTTCACTTTCGGGTTTCCCCTCAAGGTTTTTAAAATGTGTCTACTTGGGAAAAGTTTTCACACCCTTATAAAGAATACTCCATTCCCCTCTCCTGCCAAAGTGGGATCTCACAATCCACCTCTTTCGGAGCTCAGCATTCTTGCTGGCACTCGTTCATCTCTCGAATCAATGTGGGGAACTTGTCCATGAGCTTAAGCTACAAAGTCCAAAGACAATGTCTGAACGACCATTACTTAAATCAATAATATCAGAATTTAGATAGTAAAAGAAACAATTTGTTTTCCTGGATAGGGAAGACATGAATATATGCAAGACCAAATTGAACAAAGAAAAAGGTATCAAATTAAGATAAACGATAAATGTTCGCAACGGTGGGAAAAATGATAAACAACTATAAAAGTGATTCATTTTTTAACCCTTACATTTCAATGTAGCTTCTAAACAGTTTTTGATGCAGAAAATCTATATAAATCATTCCAATGGCCAAGAACAACTAGGGAATCCATCCCAACTTAACTAAAATTAATAACTTGACCATATAAAAATTAACTATCTAATATGTGAGATCCTACATCGGTTGGAAAGGGGAACAAAACATTCTTTATAAGGATGTGAAAACCTCTTTCTAGTAGAGGCGTTTTAAAAACCTTGAGGGGAAGCCTAAAAGGGAAAACCCAAAGAGGACAATATCTGCTAGTAGTGAGTTTAGACTGTTACAAATGATATCAGAGCCAGATATCGGGCGATGTGCTAGCGAAGAGGTTGAACCCCAAAGGGGCATCGACACCAAGCGGTGTGCTAGCAAGGACGATAGGCTTCAAAGGGGAGTGGATTGTAAGATCCCACATCGGTTGGAGAGGGGAACAAAACATTCTTTATAAGAATGTGGAAACCTCTCCGTAGCAAACGCATTTTAAAAATCTTTAGGAGAAGCCTGAAAGGGAAAACACAGGACAATATCGATTAACGGTGGGTTTGGGTTGTTACATAATATCTCATCCTACGCCCCGCCCCGTTTCTTTATTTGATTGATATCATTCTAGACTTAGTCTTGAATATAGACTAAAGACTAACGCTTGAATTTGCCAAATATGAACTGATAATCGGAATAGCAGGAGGTACTCATGGCACTCAAGGCAGCAGAATTCTGATCAAATTTTTCCCACTCAAACTAAGATCAAGACTCAAAAAGAAGAAACAGAATTGATAATGCGGTAACAAGTCCATCTGTTTGTGCATGATCCCGAGCCCCTGCACCTAAACTGGCTTCAAACTTCCAGGCTATATATCCGCATGAATTGAACTTCTCAGACTCAAATATCGAGGAAATTCTAGCCAACAAACCTAAGGTACGCAAATCAATTTAAACCCAACATCGAATCCCAAGACAATCACAAATTATAGCAAAACCTAAAAATTACGGAGGGGAAAAAAGGATGCAAACTCGAATGAACTCATAATCGTGCCATTTACTCAAACGCCCGCAAACTCGGGGGGAAAGAAACGAATAAAATACATCAGAAATTTGCATTCGAAGTCAAACCAGCCTCGAATTCAACCGGAAGAGCGTGCCGATTCAAAAAGAAAATTCAAGAATTGATGAACAATAAGGAGAAATTGTAAAATGGGTGTAAATTGTATTGAGGCAGCATTGTAGAAGAAGATGAAAAGAAGTAGTAGTTATACCTGGGAGAAAGAAAGCCGCGAAAGAAGAAGAAATTAGCGGTGTGTTGCTCAGATTGCAGATACGGAGGACAGAAAAAGGGTAGCGTTGGATTGCTGCAATCAAGATTTAAGGCCCCGACAGTCCGAGAGGGATGACTTGAACGGGGTTGGAGATTGAACCGAGTCAGACACAATCGAAAGAAGAAGAATAAGAAGAAGAAGAAGGAAGCTTATGCAGGTTGTGTGTGTTCTTGAAGGCAATGTTCCAACTTCTGCCAAGCGTTTGGAGATTGAACAAAAAATGGAATACAGCTTTTGGAATTTTCAAGTACATTCAACTTACGTTACCCTAAACAGAATGGACGCTTGGGGGAATTCGGATATTCCCTAATTCCTTCCCCTTTCATTTCTTCTATTACACAAACTATGCACCAAACCTCCTCTCCCCTCTAGGGGTAAAACAGACATTTCACCAAACCCGTCTCCTAACTTACTTAGGGGTAAAATAGACTTTTGAACCAAACCCGTCTCCTAACTTACACAAGGGTAAAATAGACTTTTGACAGAACTTATATAGGGGTAGAATAGACTTTTGACGAAATTATAACTGTGAATATCTCGTGATGATCAATTTGCATGTAATGATTATTTTACCGTACATAAAAGTGCAACTTTTATGAAACAAGAGGCTCATACAAGTTTTGATATTGTGTTTAAGTCATGACGGTGAAGATTTTGTTTAGTAAGTCATGTCAAAAAAGTGGCCCGAGAAAAAATTTATAAATGGAAAAGAAAGGTCATGTTAATTAAATTTTAACATCGCTCGCTATAAAAGTGACAAATGTATATCATTTAGCTAACACTTTTCCACCACGTGCTTTCAATGATTCGTTGTTTGGCCTGTTGTTGTGAAAGCCTTTGTTTAAGCCTTAAGGATTTAAATATTGTGCTTTAAATTTAGAGCAAATAATTTGCAATTAGTGGGACGCTCTACGTTGGCTTATGACTCCTTGTCACTTTAGATATGCACATATGCTAGATAAAAAAAATATATTAAAATGAGTCATAAGGGAGGGATGGTGTTAGTCTTTTACCATTTCGGGGCTTCAAGGCCTAAGCGAGAATTGTAAGAAGAGCGTCTTGGCGTTTTTCTTTGAGAATGGCTTTTAAGGACAGTGTTGAGTGGCACGGGTGTGACAACAATACTCTGTATCCCTTTAATTGGAGGTTGAAATATAAGACCAGACTTTGGCATGACATTAAAAAATAACTTGACATGAACATTCGAGGGTTCATATCTCAATAGCACTTGAATGGATGGATGCTCGAAAGGTCCTAAATATAAAGACTTATGGGTCAATTTTCGATGAATGTGTTCCAGCGAGCAGTAAAGACCAATGACATTCTAAGGTTTAAGGTGACATCATGACGCATTAGTGAGATTCGGGAGTTTTTTGATAAGCGTGATATTTAAGAGTTTTTTGATAAGCATGATATTTAACTGTTACGCTATGGCAAACATTATTATGCATAAACATTGAAATCACCTAATAAGCTCCAGTTGAACGTTTTAAAACCGTTTTGATCCAATTAGGATCCTAACACTTCCTGTTTAAGTTTCAAATCGATATTAAAGCGTGTAAGCTTTGACCTAGATGATGAAACAAGAAGTGACGTTCCATTTGAAGGGTTTTGACTTAGAGGAGAGGTAAGGTTGAGCCTTAAAGACTTAGACCAAGAGTAGAAGCAAATCGCCTAGAGTTTCAATTGAAATAAAATATACATACAGAGGCGTGTATGACTGAATGAAGCTTAGTTCCACATCAGTCACGTTCAGTGAACGAGAAAAACACATTGCCTAAAGGTCGATGAAGCTACAAAGATGAACGAAAAAGTATACCGAACTTGAGTTCTCTAAAAGGTTAGTCATGATTGAAACTCGAGCTCCCCAAAAATTCATTTATGTACAAAGGCTTTATTGGTGCAACCAACATGCCAAACTCCACCCAATGGAAGCTCCAAACTATTGACCTTACAATGGTGAAGTATAACTTGGTTCATTGAAGTTGGTTGAACCCCAAAACCCAAGATTCAAATCTACCAGACTGACCCTTCAAATTCCCCAAACTTACATAAACTACGACAAACCTCCCATTGGAAGATGGCAGGACTGCAAATTCTCTTGAACTTCTCTGTTCATTTCAATGGCGATTTTGAAGGCCTTAGCGTTCATCTCAGTTGCAGCAACTATCTTAAGGAGTTGTTCAGTTGAAGGGCAGATTCGTTCGCCTTGCACGGCCTCAATGATCAACAATTTCACGCCATGTTTCAATGTCATCACTGGAAGTAGCAGCAATGGTTCTTCACAAAAGGAAAGTTGCTGCACCACACTGAGTTCGCTGTCGGGGATAAGCATGGACTGTGTCTGCCTTTTACTTACTGCTAATGTGCCTGTTCCACTGCCCATCAATGCGGCCCTTGCGCTCGTTCTTCCAAGTTCTTGTAACATTACCAACTTGCCTGCACAATGCAAAGGTAACAACTCATCACACCATTTTCAATGATTTTTAAGTGTTTTAAGTGCAAAAAAAAAGAAAAGTATTCTTAAGCGTCGGAAAAGTCTTGCCAAATGGTCTATAGCCCAATTTCACCGCTAGCAAATGTAGTTCTTTTTGGACTTTCCCTTTCGGGCTGTTGCAAATGGTATCAGAGTCAAACACTGGGCGATGTATTAACGAGGAGGCCAAGCCTCGAACGAAGCGGTGTGTCAACAAGGGGTGGATTGTGAGATCCCACATCGGTTGGGGAGGAGAACGAAACATTTCTTATAAGGGTGTAGAAACCTAACAAACGTCTCTTAGGAATCCCGAAAGGGAAAATCCAAAGAGGACAATATTTACTAGCGGTGGGCTTGGGATGTTACAAATGATATCATAGCCAAACATAGGGCGATGTGCCAGTGAGGACGTTAGGACCCGAAGGGGGTGGATTGTGAGATCTTAAATTGGTTGGGGAGGAGAGTAAAGCATTCTTTACAAGGGTGTGGAAACCTCTCCCTAACATACGCGTTTAAAAACTTTGAGCAAGGAAAAGTCTAAAGAGGACAGTATCTGCTAACGATGGACTTGGACGGTTAACAATTTCTTAGATTTTATGAGTTTTAACGTTGGTATTGATCATATCTTGCAGCTTCAGGTTCTCCCCTGCCATCACCAGGTATGATTAATCTTCTCTAGTTCTCATCAAATTTCTTGTGCATCACTAGATCAATGAAAACTCAGAGTAAGAGAGGGTTGAAAATTTAATTCTTCTGTAATCGACAGGACCTATCTCACTTGGACCAGCTGCACCATCTCCTACTGCAGCTGCTTCTCCTCTAAGCCCACAAGGTAACCTCCTTGTGCATGATTATCTAATCTTGTCATAACATTAGGAATCAACATTAAGAATGAGCAAATTCACATCTATTCAATATAAACCGGGTTAGAAATTACAGACCTCCACAATAGTATGATATTATCTCATCGAACAAAGTACATTATAGAGCCTTCCCGGAGACCTATGGAGCCCTCGAATAGCCTCCCCTTAATCGAGGCTCGACTCCTTCTCTAGAGTCCTCGAATAAAGTACACCCTTTGTTTGACACTTTAATCTCTTTTAACTACACCTTCGAAGCTCACAACTTCTTTATTCCATATTTGAGGATTCTATTGACATAGCGAGAAATTAAGGACAAGTTCTTACCAATAAATTAGCCAATTTATACTCGCTCCCAATGGTTAAAAGGCATTGACAATCGTCTTGGAAAGTTCATTTGTACTTACAATTGTTCTTTAATTTGTGTGGGCAGTTTCCAAAGCAGTAGCAGTAGCTCCGGCACCAGAAAGCAGCCAGCCACAGGCCCAGCAATTGACACCGACGTATTCTCCGGCGGAATCGCAAGCTCCAGAAGCAGCCCACCGTCGGATCCGACCGGTTTTAGCTTCATCCGCATCTACTCCATCTTGTTCCTTCTCACCATCTCTCTTGCTGATTTCCATAGCCGTGATGGTCTTCAAATCCCATTGAACAGTTCTTTTGCTTTCGTTCCTCTACTAATTGAATGTGCTTGATGCGCGTTTGTTTCCCTCTTTTCACTCTGCAAAAAAGTTTAGAAATCAAAACTTCATTCCGATTTCGATGCCAGTTCTGATATATCTTTAATCAAATGTGATGTTACAACAATGAATGTGCAAATCAGAACAATTGATGAATATCGGCAACAAACAAATAAACATAAACAGAAGAATTGGAAAAAGTCGAAGCGAATGGTTGAACAGGCGATTCAATGGTAGGTAAGGAAGACATGGATTGGAATTGAAAATCGGAACCACAAACCCTAGATTAATAGGAGCATTATCGGTGTCCAAAATCAAGCATCGAAATGCGCTGTAAGACCATCCTCCAACTCCATCCATGTCCTTCATCACCGCACTGAGATACAACATGAAGTGAGCCACGATTTCACAATATGTCATGACGTTGACACTCGCCACAAATTTTAAAGGGTAATTAAGTCCTATATTCATTTTTCGTCTAGCTTTTACGGTTTTGTCCGGCCTTTGAAAAGGTTTGTCCTCACCAACTAAACGTCACTTGCGTGGATTCTACGTTTCTTTGGCAACACACGTTGTCGCGTGTGCATGTTCGTTCGTCTGCTACACACCAACATCGCATCTCGTTGTCATCTCGGTTCCCAACAATACTATCCATGCATCATGATGTCATCCCCATGTCTTGGCTTGCTCGGACACATCCATTGGAAACTGATCCATGTATCGATCATCTCATTGGGACATCTCAAATATCCATCTATCTGGGTTCTTATCAGGCATTGGACTCTCCCGTGTCCATGCTAGACTATTTACGGCATCCGTTACAAATAGCAGGTGCATTATCCAACCTCCAGCACACAGGCTAGGGCGCAATATCGGTACACCCGTGTCGTCCAGTGCTGTCTTTGAAAACTCATTTTAAAGGAAGCGTCTAGGAACGCTCGCCTTCATTGTGACATACACATGTGCCACATAGTAGCTCGCTTAGGTCATATGACCCAAAGGGGTGTAGAGCTGACACCATGCCTCCCCTATAGTACATTTTGAGTCATTTCCAATCTTTATCGAGTTGCCTTCCTTTTTGGCGTCTGTCGGGTATCTGATTGACACCAAATTTGTTGAGCCTTTCATCTTTCATATAGATAGACTTAATTCCAGAGCCGCATGTCGAAACTCATATTGAAACTTCGACTTCAGAGGTCATGGCCCGAGACCTTACCCGACCCTCTTTAAACTTGTTTTCAACACTAATGTCGCCTCATTCTCTCGAACTTTGCGTATGCCTCAACTTAGCTTCATTGCATACTCTTAATGTGTTGAATGATGCACTGTCCTCTTCAATCGCATCATAACACTTATCAATCTTGGCCCTCACGTGACCAGATGGGTGCCACTTGAAGGTCGCCCTTTGTCAATTTTATGCCTGGGATCACAGCCTACTTTCTCTCGGTTGATAGTGACGTAGGGCACTCAGATATAAACAAAAGCTTCACAGACCCGACCAGGGATATGCGAACAACGACGGTGATGCGATTGATGGGGCAAAGGTTTTGAGTGTGGATAAGTTCGATCAGAATGGAGGCTCCGCTGTTAGGAGGTAGAAAGAGAGGATCCGAGCACTGCATCTGCCTAGCTCAGCGACTGATACTACTCGTCTTATTACAGGTGTTGTTCGTCGCATTCTACTAAGTTATCACTTACGGGACTTGGGTTTTTGTGCATGCTGACTCATACATTTTTCTTGTCACTGATTGAATACTATGTGTCTCTGCGATCTGCTTGGATTTTCTACTCAGTATATATCATCCATGTTCTACGTTGTAGTGTAAGTGCAGGAACTCATTATCTGAATTATGAACTGTAGATTGTTGGAGTACTTGTGAAGATATTGGCAGCAGTAGCTTTGGTATTTGTGTTACTTTTAAATGGGTTGGAAGGCTGCTGAAAAGCTTATTAGGTACTGGAAGATTCTTTTGGGTGATAATGTAAGGGAAACTTTATGCAGATAAGTATCTTATTTCTTCTGTTGATGGTCGTGATTGTTTGTATTTGCCATAGGTGATGATCGGTAGAGGCAAGGTGTGAGATCCCACATTGGTTGGGGAGGAGAACGAAAACCTCCTTTATAAGAGTGTGGAACCCTCTCTCTAGCAGACGCGTTTTAAAAATATTGAGGAGAAGCCCAAAAAGGGAAGCGTAACGATATCTACTAGCAGTGGGCTTTGGCTGTTACAAATAGTGTTAGAGCTAGACGCTGGGCGATGTGCCAACGAGGAGGCTGAGCCTCAAAGGGGGTGTGTCAGCAAGGACGTTGGGCCTCGAAGAGAGGTGGATTGTGAGATCCCACATCGGTTGGGGAGGAGAACGAAACATCCTTTATAAGGGTGTGGAAGCCTCTCCCTACCAACCCTTTTTAAAGGGTGTGGAAGCGTGTCCCTACCAACGCTTTTTAAAAACCTTTAAAAACCTTGAGAGAAGCCCAAAAGGGCATTTATAAGGGTGTAGAAATTTCTCCCGTGAAGGGAAAGCTCGAAAGAAAAAGCCTAAAGTGGATAATATCTGCTAGCGGTGATCTTAGACCGTTATATTTGGACCGTTATATGAGAAACTGGTTTAGTAAAACCTGGTTGGTAAGAACATGGTAGTCAAATTGGACAATTAAAGGTTTAGAGTTGAGCTGTCTCATGTTTAATTGCTGTGCTTAGGCCCCTTCTGGCATGCGTTTGATAATGTAGGCAGTTGAGTTGTGCAATTGGCTGGTCTGTTGGCTTTGATTGATTTACTATCAAGTTTTTTTCCTCTCCTCGTACCCTCTCTGTGTATGAGGGCTTGACACCATATGAATATCTGTAAAGTCGATCTCAAGTAATGACATTACAAAGCTGACTTTATACTTCTCTCCATGTATAAAATGTTTAAGCTGTTGATCCAGCAACAGGGTTTGGATGCTGCATGTCAATAGAATCAAGTTGTCCTAGGTTAGGAACAAACCTTCATGGTAAGAAATTCACCATCTGTGGGAATCAAACCCACGACCACATGGTTAAAAGCCATGCGCTCTACCAGCTGAGCTAAGACGGCTTGTTGAAGGAACGTCAATATAACCATTAGTGTTGCAGAGAATGACAGGATAAATGGGAAAAAGATTATGTTACAAGATGCTAGCTTTACACTCCATGTTCTACTTATCTTGCTTTGCTTTCTTCACCCACTTTTTATCTGAACCAGAGAAGGGAAAGATCATTCAACGAGCAGCCATTGATTTATCCAATGGTATTTACTGTCATTGTGATAACTTGGGTGCCAGATTTGCTGATTTGACACTTCACTGCAAATGATTAACCACAGAGGCCGATTCGTACTCTGTATGTTATTTTCCAAGCTGACTTGCTTTTCTTTTTGTAGCAACACAGACAAAACTTAAAGGTACATACATACATGGAGTGCTGAACCAAATCAAGTGCTTTCTGTCTTGTAACTGTTGGGAAAAGGATGGATTCGTTGGGTTCCATTGCTCGTGGAGTAATTGGGCACACCCCCTTCTTTCATTATCATCACCAAAACAAAGATGGAGAGATTTCTACAGATTCTGAGAACTGGTAATGATCTTTCCACACAGTTTTGGTTGTGTTCTATCATATATGGCTTTTGCATATTGTTGACTCCTGAAATTTTGAATCTTTCAACTCTTTTCCTACTGATATTGACAATCACATGCGGTCTTTAACAAGTGAAGCCCGGCTCTGGCTAAAGTTTTTGTTAGGTCCCACGTCGGTTGGAGAGGAGAATGAAGCATTCTTTATAAGGGTGTGGAAACCTCTCCTTAACAAAATCGTTCCAACTAAAGTTTTTGTTAGGTCCCACATCGGTTGAAGAGGTGAACGAAGCATTTCTTATAGGGGTGTGGAAACCTCTCCCTAGCAAACACATTCCAGCTAAAATTTTTGTTAGGTCCCACATCGGTGGAGAGGGTAATGAAGCATTCCTTATAAGAGTGTGCAAACCTCCCCCTAGTAGACGCGTTCTAGCTATAGTTTTTGTTAGGTCCTATATCGGTTGAAGAGGTGAACGAAGCATTTCTTATAAGGGTGTGGAAACCTCTCCCTAGCAGACGCATTCTAGCTAAAATTTTTGTTAGGTCCTACATCGGTTGGAGAGGGGAACAAAACATTTCTTATAAGGGTGAGGAAACCTTCCCCTAGCAGACGTGTTCCAGCTAAAGTTTTTGTTAGGTCCTACATTGGTTGGAGAGGGGGAACGAAGCATTCATTATAAGGGAACGGAAACCTCTCCCACGCGTTCCAGCTAAAGTTTTTGTTAGGTCCCACATCGGTTGGAGAGGGTAACGAAGCATTCCTTATAAGAGTGTGCAAACCTCCTACTAGCAGACGCGTTCCAGCTAAAGTTTTTGTTAGGTTCTACATCGGTTGGAAAGGGAAACGAAACATTCATTATAAGGGAATGGAAACCTCTCCCTAGCAGACGCGTTCCAGCTAAAGTTTTTGTTAGGTCCCACATCGGTTGGAGAGGGGAACGAAACATTCCTTATAAGGGTGTGGAAACCTTCCCCTAGCAGACGTGTTCCAGCTAAAGTTTTTGTTAGGTCCCACATCGGTTGAAGAGGTGAACAAAGCATTCATTATAAGGGAACCAAAACCTCTCCCTAGCAGACGCGTTCCAGCTAAAGTTTTTGTTAGGTCCCACCTCGGTTGGAGACGGGAACGAAGCATTCCTTATAAGGATGTGGAAACCTCTCTCTAGTAGACGCGTTTTAAAACCGTGAAGCTGACGGCGATACGTAACGAAACAAACCAAACAATATCTGCTAGCGGTGAGCTTGTACAGTTATAGTTTTGAATTCGAGCCAGCCCAACATTATCTGTCAAAAAAACCAGAGATCTGCATGAAAATGAATGCTTGATTTCCAAAGTTGCACGGATTCAAATGCCTTCTATTTTGACTTTTGAATATGAATTCTACAGCTAAGACGACAGAAAGCTAACAATGTTCATAATTTGGACAGTGTTTCTTGCATAGACATTATTTCAACAACTGATTAATGATGTCTTTATGTTTCCACAAAGACAGCTCAAAATGAAAAACCCTTTATCTATTTGTGGCAAATTTTCCAGTAACTTAGGGAAGGGATCAGCAAAAGGTAATGGCTGTCTCTGTGGATTTTGATTATTCATTAAATCAGCATATGAACAGTGGGATTCTGTTCCATTTTTGCACCAACCCTTAACACTGTTTGTGATCATATATGGACATGCATGTTCATGCTTACGAGAATGAGTATATACTAATTAGCGTGGAGTTATAGTTATTTTGTGTGAGTGGATATTGTCTTCTTTTGGCATTTTCTTCTGGACTTTCCTTCAATTTTAAAACACATCTACTAAGGAAAAGTTTCCACACCCTTATAATGAATGCGTGCATTCGCAAGCACACCACCCAGTGTCTGGCTTTGTGTTAGCTTCAAGATTTTAAAATTCATCTGCTAGGGAGAAATTTCCTCACCCCTATAAGGAATGCGTACCCTCGCTCACATTGCTCAGTGTCTGACTCTGATACCATTTGTAACAACCCAAGCCCACCACTAACAGATATTATCTGCTTTGGCCCGTTACATATCGTCATTAGCTCCAAGGTTTTAAAATGTGTCTCCTAGGGAAAGGTTTCCACGCCCTTATAAGTTTCAATCTCCGCCTTATTTGGTCACCATGATGTATTATCAATTTCTATCTTTAAATCTAAATTATTGAATGGAAATAATTGAACCCTTTCCTGATTGAATGAACAAGGATCCATATGATCAACATCTAAAATCAGCTGCAAAACTGATAGTTTTTAATTGGTTCTTGACCAAATTGCCTGAAGAAAGAGCAGGACACAAAAGCATTATTGCATCAGATAATATTTAAATGGTATGAATATTTGTTTAAGTTGTACAATATTCAAACCAAAGCATTATTGCTTAAGTGTTGTTATAGGAAGTGGCCTAAGCTGTATATAAAATTGACTTGACAAGTAGATGCATGTGAGATAGAATCATTTAACTATAGGGTCGGTTGCTGGTTTATGAATAATGTCTAATACTTTTTTCAATCAACAAATGATTTAGTTTTGTGCCAATAATGCCAGTTGAGAGCCAGGATAGCCATTGGTGTGGCCATATGGCCCAGCTAGCGGCTTCCATGCCATGAAAAAGATAATCTCGTTTGAATGTTTTATCTTTTCATTCCTTTCCATATAATGCCATCGTTTTCATATCAGGAAGCATATTGGTGTAGGATTGAATTATTCCGAAAACAAACCCTGAGTCCCTATGTTGGTTAGAGAGGTGAACAAAACATTTTTTATAAAGATGTGAAAACCTCTATCTAATAGATGCGTTTTAGAACTGTGAGGTTGACAGCAATATATAACGGGTCAAAGTGGACAATATCTATTAACGGTGGGTTTGAGCTATTACAAATGGTATTAGAGTCAGACACTGGGTGCTGTGCCAACGAGGACGATGGGCCCTCAAGAGGGGTAGATTGTGAGATCCCACATTGACTAGATAAGGGAACGAGGGTGGAAAAACCTCTCCCGAGTAGACGCGTTTTAAAACCGTGAGATTGACGGCAATACGTAACGGGCCAAAGCGAATAATATCTACTAGATGTGGATTTGTGCAGTTACAAACCCACTAACAGCAAAAAAAAAAAAAAAACGAACAAAACAACCTGAGTGAGAAAAGATATTGTTGTTTATCAATGAAACCTTTCTCTCTCTCTCTCTCTTTTCGATTTAGATGAACACAAAAAAACAAGAAAGAAAATGTAAAGAGAAATATTGACTAAAGATTTATATTGATAACTTTAGTATGTACAATAAGAGAATACATTTTCTAGAAGATGTAGATCTGTGAAGATGAAAAACTCAAAGATGGGACTGAGAAATTTGATGGATCCGATTTCAGTTTCTAGGTCGAGTGTGTGTCGGATACTATGACCACAGAACAGTGGAAGCTGGATACTATGACTACGGAGTAGTGGAAACTCAAGGATCAACATGCGCTAGGGTTGATCCAGTTGATCCTGTCCAGAAACGTGGCGTTCAACATCATCAAGAAGAAGACAACGTATATTTGATGTGAAGATTATTCAATCTACAAATGTCTGAAGGTGAATCTGTTGCGGATCATATAAATGAATTTAAAGCATTGATTTTGTGTTCATCTAGATCGAGTGTGTGCGTTGTTGTACAATCCTACCATATATGTGGAGAAGATGTTGACTTCTTCGTTGAACTCAATGCGTCGGGATGGAGATTTAAACTTTTGACCTGTTGAGTGATAATATATATAGAAGCTAGTAGAGTTACAAATATGGGAGAATGTTTGGTTATTCATTTGGACAAAGTCTCATGATTATTATTGTAAAGCTGAAAAGGTAGCAATTTTCTGAGTGCATGCAAATGACATATCTCATACGTTATAACAGCAGCATTCATTTTACAGCTATGCTTTTTGGACAGCTTATGAAAGTCAGAAGTTACATATGAATATATGGTGAGCTATTTACTGCAGTTCTAGCCACACTTAAAAGTAAAAGTGTATATATTCTTGAAACGTAAAGTTTGTAAAAAAACGTTCCTCATAAAGAGGTGGAAACCTCTCCCTAGTAGACGTGTTTTAAGAATCGTGAGGCTGACAGTGATGCATAACGAGCCAAAGAGGATAATATCTACTAGCGGCGTGGATGTTACAAATTGTATTAGAGCTAGACACTAGGTTGTGTGTCAGTGAGAACGTTGGGCTCTCTCAAAGGGGGTGGATTGTGAGATCCCACATCAGTTGGACAGGAGAATGAAACATTTCTTATAAGAGTGTGGAAACCTCTCCCTAGCAAATGCGTTTAAAAAACCGTGAGACTGACGGCGGTACATAATGGGTCAAAATAGATAAAATTTGCTAGCGGTGGGTTTGGGCTGTTACAAACAATATCAAAATCAAACACTAGGCGGTGTGCCACAAGGGACGTTGGGCTCCCAAAGGGAGTGGATTGTGAGATCCCACGTCGATTGGATAGAAGAATGAAACATTCCTTATAAGGGTACGAAAACCTCACCCTAATAGACGCGTTTAAAGAATCATGAGACTGACAGCAATACATAACGAGTCAAAGCAAACAATATTTGTTAGCAGTGGTTTTGGGCTGTTACAAATGGTATCATAGCCAAACACCGGGCGGTGTGCCAGTGAGGACGTTAGGCCCCCAAAGGAGGTGGATTGTGAGATCCTACATCAGTTGGAGAGGAGAACGAAACATTCCTTATAAGGGTGTAGAAACTTCTCCCTAGCAGACGCGTTTTAAAAACGGCGAGGCTGACAGCAATACATAACGGGCCAAAACGGAGCGAAAAAGAGGTACTTTGAAGAGACTGATATACAATGGTACAATAAGATTAGACAGAGGAAGAAGAAAGGCAGTAGGGTCAGACAGAGTAAAGGGTAAGGCCACCCACACTCATGGCTTTTGGGCCACTACCAACCATCCAACCCTTTAAGATTGAGCTCTCTGTGCTTTCAAAATGGTAACTTTCTTAGGCTGTTTTGGTGAAACTTAGAATGGGGTCACACCCAGTTTGTTTACCAAGTAGCAGTAGCCGTAGCAGTTGTGGTTTCACTGTTCAACCAATCCATTCACCAATTAGGACCTGCCATTGCCTTATAAAGGAGCCTGAAACTCCATAATTTGGGTTCAAAAAGTGAAAAGTGGAGACAAAATATGAATGGATTCATAGCTTTATTTTATTCCCCACTTGTAGTTGCAGTTTGATGTCATCTGTACAATGGAATATTAAGCGACAAATGAAAACACCAAAAAAGTATCCTAATCCTAATCCTAATCCTTCCTTTCATTTCAAAGGGCAACCGTGTGTAGCAGTGAGTATTATAGCCACGAAGCCACCGACTCGAGCATATGATATAATCATCTAACACCAGCTACTCATTTACGACACTAGACTAGTCGATTTCTAAGTTGACAAAGCCTCAAGATATTTAAGATATCAACACTCAAAGAGCAACTGTATATCAGTATGTCAATATACCTTGCTACTGATAGCATGTTTGGGTCAGCTGAAGTTCTGAAGTAGTGTCGATAAAAAGCTCGTGTCGAGAAGATCAACTTGAGTTTCATCTGAAATATGGATGAACAAAACACAATGAGGAAAAGGGCTTTCTCTTTCGGACTTTCCCTCAAGGTTTTTAAAACGTGTCTGCTAGGAAGAGGTTTCCACACCCTTATGGTGTTTCGTTCTCCTCCCCAACCAATGTAGGATCTCACAGAAGGGGTTTTTAAAGGAAGTTGAGCCACACCAACCTTCTCTTTTGGCTTTTAGCATTAGAAGCCTTCATAATTATGGAGACAAATGAGCTTTTTGGAAGCGCCCACCTGCAGAATAGAACCTTTAATGAGAAACATGGCTAGAAAGTTCACATACTCCAAAAACAACACATTCTATTCTTAAAGTCAATGGCATCAAGCTCGTACTTTAGTTGTCGAACATGTGAGGCGTTCTATTTAACTCAAAAAATGAACCAGTGGCCACCATGATCTGCAGCAATATGAAGATTCGTGCGTCGGGAAGATTCGCCGAAGAAACTATGTCCCGAATAGCCATTCGTGTTTTGGCAGTAGCTCTTCAGCTTCAATCTTTGTATTGGAATAACTCAGACCCTTCTTAATCCAATTAGGAGATAGGGACTCAACCTCAGCCAAAAACACACTACAAACTAGCCTATGGTCTGAGAATCTCGACTCGCCACGAACATAAGACAATTGATTCAGACCCCTACCGTACCACAATATTCGATCACACCTTCATGTAACAAGCCACAATCATAAATGGAGTAATTGGGGAAAAGGCTAATGTATATTCGATCACGCCTTTAAGGATAGAAAAGTTACCAAGCAGGAGTTCTCCGCTTTTCTTTCGGGTACCGGGAATCTCCAGAGTATCTATCCGAGTTGTAAGAATACTTGTAGGTCGGAGGGAAACAGATCTTCCCTTCTTCCCATCCTTCAAAAACGTGCCCACGTCTTCGTTCTATCCTCAGCTGATAACATGAACCATCATGCTCTCAGTTTCATTAGCTCTTGGATAAAAGTACACTAAACTTCGAGAGAGTTAACACAAACTTGCCTGGTCGTTCTCCAATAGAGCTCTCCAGTTATGCATCTCGACGAGAGCCTTAGCGGATCGATAAGACAAGGCAATCCTATAATTCAAATCGCCCAGCCAGATAATCCGACTGAACCAAGAAGTTCAATGATTCAACAGAATACAGAGAAACAGGAACCAAATATGATAGTACATGAAGGATAAACTTACTCATGCTCTAGAACCGTTTGAGGGTAGTGCTCATCTTCCATGCCATTAACTCTAGGGAACCTAGTTTTCCTCAGTATCTCCATAACGTCAGCGTTCCTCCGTAGCTCGTCGCCCTCCTTCTGTCCCGACGATAAGTGACTACAAATGAAGCAGAAGCTTGTTTGGTGCAGTGACATGCTAATTGAGATAGCTCCCTACAACACCAGAAGTAAATCATGGCCTACTTTTAACAAGTTCCTAAATCTTAGTGAAGTAGAAAACATTACCTTATTTCCAAGATAACCCATCAATCCTCTGCCTACACAAGACACTCTCAAGTTACGGACATCATCCCTCAGATCTCTCTTCACCCAAACAGTAAGAAATATACCAACCATTTGTTTACTAGCAACTAAACAATACCTCGAGCGCTCGGGTTGCCTATCTCCATCGTCGACGGAGAAGGAACCACAGCGGGAAATGGGTGAATTGTGGGAGACAAATGGTGAGTCCCCTTGTCCATTGTCTTCATCAGATGAACCCCACCTGCAAGTGGGGTCATAGTCACTTGGCCTATGCCCAAACATAACCTGATCGAAGTCACTGAACCGTCGATCAACTTGAGCTTTTTGTGTCGAAATGTTATTATCCATTCTCATACTACGGCTAGTGGACTGAAACGATTGTCGATGGAAGAACGACAACGCCTTGTGCTTTGTCGATCCATCAAAATCTGCATCCATATTAGTGCCAGGAAGAGTATTTAGAGTCTTTCTAATAAGAGCAAGCCATTTCTTAGCTGGGCCGTTGTCTTCTGTTCCCAACACATTGCCAGCATTCAGAGGAACAATTTCCTGAAAACTGGATGCCAAAAACAAAGACAAACTCTTCTATCATTTACACAAACATCAAGTCTTTTAAAAAGATTTGAATTCTGAGCTGTAGAACACACCCAAGAACGTATATATCTGCAGGAGTTGAGCTAGGAAGCCAATCATCAAGACTTAAATGATTTGGAGGAGATTTTCCAGCAACATTCCAAGTGGCTACAAATATTCTGTCATTCATACCGAACGGATGAGGATTGTTGGGAGGGAGTCCCACATTGGCTAATTTAGGGAACGATCGGAGGTTTATAAGTAAGGAATATCATTCTATACCATTGTAGAGGGACGTGATTCCTAACAAAGAGAACATACCTGTAATTGTTAACGTCGTAGGTCTGTGGAGCGTCAAATTCAAGACTATGCTGGAGGATTCCTTCAAAATTCCTCTTGCTTGATCCTTCTGGAAATGTATACAGAAAAAAAGCATATGAAATGAATTAAAAAGTAGACTTTATTTGAAACAATGATGAGTGAGCTCTTGATTCTATACCTGTTTGGCTTTTCTTGATAGCGCATGCCTCCTCTAGATGGCTGTTCTTCCAGTTTTCATGCCCGCCTGAAAAAAGAATACCATAAAGCTGTTGAAAACCCTCATTTTAGATGGATCTTGAGCAGACCCAGTAATGTTAGTGGCAAATTATCGTAAGAAAAGAAGGATTCCCCACCAAAAACACTGTCATCTGCCTCGAAATCTTCTGATTTGTTCTTGATATTCAGCCATTTCTTGAATAATGTCTTGGTTCTTGAAAGCTTCCGTTGAAGAACGAAGAGAACAAGAAAAATTCAATGATTTTGGACAAAACCCAGAAAAATAGAGACAAACAGAACTCAAGAAAGTAGTGGCATAGTTCTAAACCTTGCTTTTCTTGGAATTTCCATCTCTCATTGCTGGGAAATCCCAATGATTCTTAGACGCGTAGGAGTAAAATGAATCAAACAACGAGAATTAGAACAAAACCCAAATGCGGTATTCAACTCATATAGCTTGTTTATCATGAGAATCTGAATCCCCTGTTTTTCCAAAGAGAAAAACAGAGAAAATGAGAGAAACCCAGTTGAATGTGGTGTGTTTCACATAGTAATTAAAGGGTAAAGAACAGAATGAGGTTAGGAAAAAGGAAACTGAAGGGGTTTCTCTTTGTTTCTCTGTTTCTCTCCCTCTTGTGAGTTTGTGTGCAAATTCTGCGTGTTTCGAGAAAGCGATATTAACCCAAAATCCAAGACGGACCCAAGTTGAAGGGCGTTTGTTCTAATTGGTCACCCACTCAAAACCAACAGTGCACAGACCCCTCCTCCTCTCCCAGCCCACTCTCTCTGTCTAGAATGGTCAGTAAAGTTAGGTTTCAAGTTTGATGTAGGCTAGAATAGAACAGAGTACGGAGTGCTATCCCTTCATCTCTCTGATCTTCTGGGAGGAGAAAACACAGTGAAACAAGGAGAAAATTGGGGCTTCTGGCTTGTCCTTCTCGGTGTAATCGGTTGTGGAGTAGAACGAAACCCCTTTAATAAGGTTATGGAACCTCTCTCTAACCATTTATGAGAGTCAGACACTGGGTATTGACCTTTTATATGTACTAATGGTGGGCTTTGACGGTTACAAATGATATGAGAGTCAGACACCGGGTAATGAAGCGAATTTGGTGAAGATCCTACAAATGAATCAGTGGCCCCGAAAAGGGTGAATTGTGGGATCCCGCATTAGTTGGGAAGAAGAACGAAACATCCTTTATAAAAATAGGAAAAACCCAAAGAAAACAATATCGAGATTAAGGAAGAGGGTGTGAAGAGAAACTGCCATTAATTACTCCGAGGAACTTCCATAAATGAATTTGTCCCATATTCAACTTTGACAGTGATGAGAAAGTGTGGATCTTCCCCTGCCCCTCTGACCAATTCTCTATTGTTTCGTCAAACTATAAATTATTGCCTCTTGATTTTTCTTCCCTTAAAAAGCATATATGTCCATTCAAACTAATAGCCAATTACACACACATACAAAGGCCTGGTTGATATGTTATGGGCATACAATTACTCAGTTTACTCGGTTCAATGCCTAGTTTCACTGGTCTTGCACATCTCGAGGAGAGAAAGGACGTTATTTGAGAGCTGCAAGATCAAGTCGAGGAGCTTGATTGACTACCCGAAAAGGGAATCCATCTCCATATAAACGTATTGGCTAAATGGAGGCGATAGATTACTTCTCGGCTAATACAGTTGAATTGTCTTACAGTCTTGACATCAGTGTTGGTAGTTGAAGGAGAGATAGTACAAGTATAGGAGTCCACTCTGTACTGTAAGGAATGCAACTTAACATGTGCTCGGTTAGATACGAGTTTATTATCGATACTAACTTAAACATCACAGTGTTTCAAGATCTCTCTTTTGTAGGACAACCCAGATCAAGATCTCTACCAAATGTCAATTTGGACAGCTATTCTTGACTAGATTTTTTCATTAATAGATACTATTTTATTACTCCGAGGGACATCTTCTTGGAATGTTTTGAGCATGGATATCCTTTTGAAGCTGTGGTTTGAAAGAACCAAGAGTATTGTGTCAAATGGGAAGCAATCCACCACCACCAAATTAGGGTTTATGTTTTTGTTTGAGATTCAATTCCTTCCAACTTACATTGGGGTAACAAAGATGAGATTTTGAGAAGCACCCACATTGGGAAAACACACCCTTTACATAATTTTTAACTTAGATTTAGGATCTTGTTAGGGAATTTAGGGTACCCCACACCCCAAGGGATTGCCTAGGGTGGTCACTAAAGCCACATTCCAAAGCTTATCTCATCTATTTCTTCAAAAGTGACCCTTTTTTTTTTCTTTCTTTTATCTTCCTACACAATACACGCGTACATTCCTTCGTGTGGAGACATTTGTTGGCTATCTAATGGAACCCTTATATATGTAACAATTCAAACTCATCGCTAATAAACATTGTCCGTTTTGGCTCATTATATTTCTTCGTTAGCCTAACAATTTTAAAACATGTCTACTAGGGAGAGGTTTTCATACTCTTATGAGGAATGTTTCGTTCCCCTCTCCAACCAATGTGGGATGGAAGGCCCAGCATCCTTGTTGGCACACTACTCGGTGTCTGGCTTTGATACCGTTTGTGAGATCCCAAACCCACCTCTAACAAATATTGCGTGTCAATGTCAGTCTTATAAAACGCATCTACTAGGAAGAGGTTTCCACATCTTTATAAGAAATGTTTCATTCTTCTCTCCAACCAATATGGAATGCTTCGTTACAAATGGTATAAGAGCCAGACACTAGGTGGTGTGTGCCAGTGACGACTCTAGGCCCCCAAGAGGGTGGATTGTGAGGTCTCACATCAGTTGGAGAGGGAAACAAAACATCTTTTACAGGGTTATAGAAACTTCTTCCTAACAGACGTTTTAAAACTGTAAGGCTAATAGTAATGCATAACGAACCAGAGCAAACAATATTTGCTAGTGGTGAACCTAGACAGTTACATGAATTTGCCAATCCCGATCAAGAACTTAAATTCCCATGGAGCCCAAATGGTTTAATGCTTCTATACAAATTGAGTCTGCATATACTTTTTGATTCAATAAATGATATAATGAGTTTATGGTTCCCCCAATCTTCTTTTACCTGAATGCTACCTTATCACCTACCTTCAGCCACGTGGGGATGTCACATTGGATAATATTCATATACATATATATACACATACATTCAGCATCTGATTAAAGAAACAACTGTAAAAGGATATGCAAAATAGAAGTACCAAAACGCCAACCCATCCTTTGAAAACAACAGACAATTAAAGATCAGTACTTTCACAAACATTATTTTCGTCCATCCGATCGCACTAAAGCCTCATGTACTTGATGGCCCCGATATCCCTTTGTCTTGAACTGCTCTTAACAGTGAAGACTATCCTCACAAACCCAACACGAGTCGTTTTAGCATGTTTTGTTCTTGCATAGGCTATATCCTCGTGATCACACTCTTCTTTGAATGTAGTTTCGGTTCTTACGTGTACCCGTCCTTTGTTAACGTGTCACAATCACTCAAAAAGAACAATATTCCTTTGAATGAAGAAAGATCTTTTCTTTGATACGTAAGGTTTACAAAGTCAATTCTTGACTTATAATGTGCTTATTTAATGACAAATGTAATCTCTAGGATTTTCGATTGATTATAAAATTCATCTCCGGTTCTAATCTCCACTTAACGAACAGCACAAATGATCAGATAGAATCAAACACTTTTACATGAAAACTACTAAATTAATGTACCAACCAGCCTTAGACCTTATAAAACAAAATGGAATTTGATGAGTTGTGCAAGTAAAATATTTTAATTCGCCTCCTTTAATTATTCAATCAATCATTTGGGTTGATGTACAACTTGAAAGCGACCCGACCCGACCCATCTCATTTAATATCCAAAAAGTTCTAATCTTACGGTAATCAGATAAGATCTAATAAGAAAAACTGAACTATATTCGAATCGATAAATATTATTTCTTCCGACTGTTGTATCAGGAGGCCTATATTTTGTTTTTCTCCATTGTAGCCCATCAAATCATTCGGTATTTGTCCACCGTCTTCTTTGTTTTTGATCGTAGCCACCAAGAAGGTCTGACACAGCTCGACCGAGGTGTTTTATAGCCACCTGAGCTACCTGAAAGGCCACTTAAATTCAAAGCAAGAACATTGCAACTGGTTTGTTCTCTAAAGCCACTAAATCATGCAACAATTTGGCATTTACTCGTGAGGTTCAATGCATATAAACCAGTTCCAGATTTGGTTGTGTTTCAAGTCTAATTTGCTTCAACAAACATACCAATCATATATCTAATAACTTCATTTGATACCAACATAAATTTCAATCAATCTCAATCACAATCACGTATCCAAGTTCTGATGATAATAGCATCAATCTTAGTCAATTATCCAATCATTGTTGACATACAAAAAAACGGATATCCTATTCGGTATAGAAGATGTTGTATCCAATCATTTATATCCTCGTTGAGAGAGATCCCACATTAGTTGGGAGAGGAGAACAAAACACCCTTAAAAAGGATGTGGAAACCTCTCCTTAGCATACGCGTGGAAAAGCCCAAAGCAGATAATATCTGCTAGCGGTGAGTAAAAGTGAAATTAAACTCATACAAACTTGAATCAATCGAACCAAAATAGTTTGAGTAAAAGTGATCAAGCTTTCAGGGTGGTTGAATTTGTTTGACATCCCTATTCTGAAAGCACATAAGAATCAGTTCAAAAAGAGGAAAAGGAAACAGTGAGTAGCCATAGCAGTCACATATATGGAAGCTTCCACTATTTTTGTGCTTTATGGCCCAAACATATCAAACAGAAATCTTTCACAATATCAATAAGAAAATGCTCTTTTTTCAGAGAATTAGTTGAATGCAAGCCAATCATATTCATAGGTAGCAACAGAGAGCAGTGAGAATGATTGAAAGCCATAGTGAAATCTCAGTGACACTGAGTTTTGAATTGACAGAGCTCAAAAGTGGAGAGTTCTTTTGGGTATGCAGTAACAGAGGATTCAACTTACCTTTCATCTGTGTTCATAAGCCATTCTTTCCCCCACAAACATTGACTCGTTTGTTTCTGACTTTTTATTGTTCATCCTGCACACACCCTGCTTGAAACAAGAAAATCCCCACTACCCATATCTTTCTTTCAAAAGGATCCTTCACTGAAAAAGAATCAACTCCCAAAGAAAAAAGCTAAAAAAAAGCAAGCCTAAAAGTTGGAGGCCCATACATCTAGAAATCATGCTATCTAAACTAACATCTTCATTGCTACTTGATGTAGCGAATGGGTCAAATTTGTCGCAGCTGTGGTATGGGCTGATATGTTTATGCTGTTTATTAATACTCACACCATCCACTTGATCATATCCAAAGCAGAAAAGAATTGCCAATTGGTTATTTCTCATTAAGTTCCTCGTTGAACTTCAGCAGCTTTCATCAAACTAAACAGTAAACACAGGCAGTAGCTACTAGTTTTCATATTTTATTATATAATCATTCCAAAGACCAATCTCTTCTACAGTAAACTCAACTTTAAGAGAAAACAAAAGCAACAAAGAGCGGAATCTTCACTGCATTCAGAAAAAAGAAAAGCACAAGACTAGAAGAGATAGCATTTTAAAACCATTGGAATCTACAGCTACTTAGGTGCAGGGGAGAGGTCATAACACTTAAGAGCCAACCTCATACAATCCAACCAATGCAGAATTTCAGCATTTGGGTCGTTCTCAACCACAACATCTGACACCGTCATCTGCACCACTCCCCTATAGCTGCTAACCCTCCCTCGAACCCTAGCAACAATCCCAACCCTAATTTGGGCTGCGAAATGGGTCGCCATATTTCCAATTATACGAACATCTGGCTGGTGGCGTGAGGCAAAATAAGGCGACGTGAGATGGTTTAGCCACAGGATGCAGCTAACACAACCTGTACCATCGTCGACAGAAAATCTAAGAAACCTGTTGGGTTTCAGGTCACGGAAGACCACAACGCCGACGATCTCAACACAAGAAACGGCATAGCCTCTGCGAGAGAAGGAAACTGCATCGGAGGAGGAGGAAGAAGCGCTTTGGGTGAGTGAATTAAGGTCGAAACCCAGGAGCTTGATGTGGGTGTGGTAGAGGGAGAAGGCTCGCTGCTGGTTCATTGGAAACCTACTACGTAGTTCTATGGTTCTGGCTGAGTTAAACCTCTGGCCCATTGGGCCTGTATTTGGGCTTTTGTCAGATACGTGAGAGCCCAATTGAAGTTCAAGGACAGGCCCATTAAGACAATCCAAAGGCTACGAATTGGTGACGACGGAAGGAAGGGTAAAGAAGGGACATCTGACAAAAGAAGTGGGGTCCACTTCATACTTTTATCTTATTCCTAAGTCGTAACAGCATAATGACAATATAAGGATATTATTTTTGTTTGTTTTCTTTTTGACTAAATTACAAAAATAAATAAATAAATAACACTTCAATTTACTATTTCTCTACCAAATATAATTATTATTTCAAATTTAAAATATAATTGTTCGTAAATGTTTTAAAATTATGTTTAAACTAAAATTCGTTAAAATTATGAACGGGAAAATTTGGACCTTAAAATTTTTTTTAACGACCCATATCCAAAATTTTACGACACTTGTGTCGCAATATCTACCACTATTAAGTGTGCATAGATATGAAAATATTATTACTCAACGAAAGAATACAGATTTAAGAATGAGGAAAAGAATTGGGATCGAATGTTCTATCTTCATTGATATTCACGACCTTTAAATAGGATACAAGATACTAAATAATATCTACCAAGAAAATATAAACCAACTAAATCCTGATAATAAAATAAAATATACTACTATTCAAATTCAACTGATTACGATATCTAAAATATATTTCCTAACTAATATATTCTGGAAGATTACGAATATCATATGTTCCATAACTAATTCAAACTAAAATAAGTTGCACTAAATTGTGACAACTTGATGACCTTAACACTCTCCTGCATGCCCTACGACACGATCAAGCTACTTGGTTCTTGCTTCTAAGAGTGAAGATTATCTTCACAAACCAACACGAGTCATTTCATCGTATTTTGTCTTCACTGATATGTTTCTTCTGATCGAGCCACCGAAAAAGAAACACAGTAGTAAATTCCAATTGTTTTAAGTTTTCATTGGAACGTGGTCTTTGATCATTCACGTACTACTCATTTACTCGGGTGTCACCGTTTTAAATTTTGAATTTAAAATAGCTATGTACTCCAAAACCCTAATATTTAGGGAAGACAGCTCACCCTTTCATGAAAAAAGGTTCTCCCAATGTATGGGAATAGTGGGTGGCATATGACGACAGAAAAAAACAGTAATTTTAAAAAAGATTGCCGTGGTTAATAGTAACTTCTGAAGAGATTAAAAGGTGAAGTAATTAATGCCATGGGTAATATCCATGAGGAAATTTATGGTGAAAATGATGGGGTGAGGTATTAATGTAAATACATTTATTATAATACCTTGACTAAGCTGGGAATGGTTGGTCCTAAGGTGCGCCACATGAGCCGCGCTCTATAAAGTGACCACGCTTCATATATATTATCCAATCAATTATAATATGGTCTAAAAGTTTATTACTTTTGTATACATTAAATTCACCCACGTGGTCCAACAATCTTGTGCCACACAAAATTCGATTTGCCACGTCATTGCGTTCCTTTTTGGTTTCCCTAGCAAATTTTTAATATTTAGTGTGATTTATTTTTAATTTTTTTTATCAGTTGAATTGTCATTATATCATTAAAAAAAATTGAAGAAATATAAGAAAATTAGCGACTAACTATCCTTAATGTGAACCTAACATTAATAATGAGGAATTTTGACTTATTTGATACAACGAGTTAGGAAATAAATGCGATTTTGGAAAACTAATCTATCTCTCTTGGGGGCGAGCATCTTTATTGATACACCGCTTGGTGTCTGACTCTAATACCATTTATAGCAACCCAAGTCTGCTGCTAACAGATATTGTCCTCTTTGGTTTCGTCCCAGGGTTTTAAAACGTGTCTAGTAGGGAGAAGTTTAATAAGCAATATTTTGTTCTCCTCTCCAATAAATACGAGATCTCACAGTAACATGGTCATAAAATTAAAAAAAAAAAAAAAAAAAGTGATGTCCCACGTGGAGAGTAGAACAAAACATCTTTTAAAAATGTGTAAAACCTTCTTCTAGCAAACGCGTTTTAAAGCCTTGAAGGAAAGCCCGAAAGGGAAAACCCAACGAGGATAAGATCTGTTAGCGGTGGATTTGGGATGTTACAGATGTTATGAGAGCTAGACACTGGACGATGTGTCATCCTTCTCGCTTTTCTTCGAAGGGGGTAGGCACGAAGTGTGTTAGTAAGGACGCTGGCCCCAGGGGTGGATTTGGTGGGGGTCCCACATCAATTGGAGAAAGGAACACTGGACAATGTGCCAACCTTCTCGGTCTTCCTTGAAATGGGTAGACATGAGGTGTGTCAGTAAGGACACCGGGCTCCAAAAAGGTGGATATATCTTCTTTTTTCTTTTTTTTTTTCGTTAAGTAGTTGTAATTAACAAATTTCGTAAAAATAAAAAAGAAAGGTCCAACAATATAATGAATAATGAATATGGGTAAAGTTGTTACACTAAAAAAAACAAGCAAACCAAGCATGCCTATACATTTTATATCTTTCCCCCTAAAGCAAGGCATGATTTCAAAGCCCTCTCTATGCCTCTCATCATTTTTATTATAAAATATATATATATATATATTATTTTTTAAAAGATTTTATTTATAATACTATAAAGATAACATGTAGATTCAAAACTTTAGGTTATAAAATAATTTAAATTATTCCACACACTCATAGCATATGCCATTCAAATATGATTTATTTATTTATTTGTAGATTCAAAATAGATTTTGTGATATAAATACATGATATGACACGTGTACCCTCCACCATTATACATTTAATAATTAAATCATTTTCTTCTTAATATTTTCTTTTTATTTAAGTCCAACAAATAAATTAAAAACATAAATTTCAACCCCAACGTAACTATTTTTTACTTCCAATTTTAATATTTCCATGTTGAAGTAAAAATATATATATATATATATATATAATAATTTCCATTGCATCTCACGTTGGAGTGATAAAATATTCCCAAAATCTCTCTTTTTTATTCTTTTTTCATGTATTGGTCCAAGCGCACCGTTAACAGATATTGTTCTACTTGAGCTTTTTCTTTCGAGCTTCGGCTCCAAATTTTTAACACACTTGTAATGGAGAAGAGGATCGAAACATGCTATTGAAAGATTCTACTGAGACAAAGATGGGCTGTCAAGAACGTAGAGGAGGTAGGATGGGCAGTTGGTCAAATCTAGTACAGATCGTACATGGACGGTAGGTGGAGTCAATGGGTCTCTTAGGGTTCCCAGAGGATCAAATTGGCCTTTGTGAACAACTTGATGCATTATCTCCCTTCAACCTTTTGAGCGAAATGCAGCAAAAAAAAAAAAAGAAAATCCATGGACCGACCCCATCGTCTCCACCCCGTAAGAACTACCGTGTTTCATTCTCCTCCCGACGTGGGATCTGTCTTCGATCTATAAGTATGAACAAAGAAAAAAAGAGAAAAAAAAATCAATTCTTGACTTTGTATAAAGTGATTGCTTCTCTCTCTTATTTAATTCTCTCCCCTTAACCACGGTGTTTGCTCTCATCTTCCGCCATAAACATTTTGCAAAAGCTGAAATATTACCACTACACTGCATAAAAAGCAACAAAAAAACCAGGCTGCGCGACACACAAGAACACTAAAAGACTGCCACCGTCATTGCTATTCCAGAATCAAAACCCACCCCTTCTCCTCTTTTGTGGGGAAAAAAATAAGAATCTGTTCTGTAAGTTCTTTGATTCTTGAACATTTCTCTGTTTCTTGTTCTTTCCATAATGTCTGAATTTCATGTGTTCTTCAGGTTCAACAACACTCATGAACACAACCCATCGTGTTCATCAGGTACCCTCCAGCTTTCTTGCTTCTATGCAACAATCTAAGTTCTGGGTTTTCATTCTTTTCAAACCTTGATCCAGATTCCTGTTCTTGGGTTCACAATTTAACGATTTTGGGTCAAAATTCCATCTGGGTTGAGACATAAGAGTGGGGAATCCATGGAAACCCCCTCGGCTGTAGATTCCAAGCGTTCGTATTCTTGGTGGTGGGATAGCCACATTAGCCCAAAGACCTCTAAATGGCTTCAAGACAGTCTTTCAGGTACACCCTTTTGTTGTCTCTGGAGCTGCCCTGTAGGTTTCATTCTGTCGTGTTTTGTGTTCTATGTTCTTTGTTTTTGTGTCTCTAATCAGAATTCTTGTCTGTTCTTGGTAGACATGGATGAAAACATCAAGCAGATGATCAAGCTTATTGAAGAAGATGCAGATTCCTTTGCAAAGAGGGCTGAGATGTATTATAAAAAGCGTCCTGAGCTTATGAAACTAGTCGAGGAGTTTTACCGAGCGTACCGAGCATTGGCTGAACGATACAATCACGCAACCGTTGTGATTCATCAGGCTCATCGAACCATGGCTGAAGCTTTTCCTAATCATATATCCATGGCTCACCCTGATGACAGCACTGATGCTGATTATTTTACACCTGAAAAAACTCAACCTTCCAGCAAAGGCTCTAATTTGATGACAAGGGAGACGTGGTTGAAGCATCTTGATGAGTTGTTTAACTCAGGAGTAGCCAAGAATCTTTCGAAATTCGACGATGGGAAGGCGAGAAAACGTCTCAATTTTCATGATCTTGATCCTGAAGAAGAGAATATACAAAGTAATGGGAATCATGAGCTTAAGAATCGAGTATATGTCGAGTCCGAAAGGGTGGATAGAGCTGAGTATGAAATTTTATCCTTAAAGAACGCGCTTGCTAAACTAGAAGCTGAAAAGGAAGTCGGGTTACTTCAGCATAACGACAGTCTACAGAGGTTGTCTACGTTAGAGTCCGAGGTATCTCGAGCGCAAGAAGATTCAAGGAGTTTAAACGAAAGAGCTGGTAAGGCCGAGATGGAGGTTTCAATTTTGAAAGAGTCCCTTGCCAAACTAGAGACTGAAAGAGAAGCCAGTCTTTTAAGCTACCAGCAATGTTTAGATAAGTTATCTACTCTACAAGACAGCATCTTGTGTGTTCAAAAGAATGTCGAAAACACTACGAGAGCTAGCAAAGCCGAAACCGAAGTAGAACGACTTAAACGGGAAGTTTCAAGAGTCGAGTCTCAAAGAGAAGCTGTCGTTTTAAGCTTAGAGGAAAGAGTAGTGCTTGCAGAAGAGGATGCCAGGAGGTATAAGGTGCAAGCTGATGAAGCTCAAAGTGAAGTCTTGACGATTAGGGAAGCGCTCACACGATTAGTTGAAGAAACGAAAGCTGCAGGTCTCAGGCATCGTCTATGTCGAGAGAAGATTACGAGCCTGGAACATGAAATCTCTAATGCTCGAGAGGAGCTAGAAAGGGTAGAGGATGAGAAGGCTAATGGGGTTGCAATGTTGAAGGGTGCTGAAGAAAGATGCCTTCATTTACAGAGGTCGAATCAAATTCTTCAATCTGAGATGGACTCTATGGTGCAGAAGATAGGCTCGCAAAGTGTCGAACTAATTGAGAAGCAGAAGGAGTTGGGAAGGCTTTCGGCGTCGATACAGGAAGAACGTTCGAGATATGTAGAGAATGAAACTGCTTTCACCACATTGCAAGAACTGCATTCAAAATCTCAGGAGATGGAAACACGGAATCGAGTTCTAGAGGATGAAGTCCAGAAGATTAACTTATCTTCAGAAATGTCGATAAATTGTTTGCGGGACGAGATGTCAAACATGACTACGAATTTGGAGAAACTCGAAGCAAGTCTTGAGTTTCAACTTAACCAAAAGAATGATCTCTTGGAGAAGTTGAAGAACATCGAAGATCACTGTGAGAAGAATTTGATTGAATTAGAAAGCCAACAGATGAAGGTAAAGGTATTGGAAGAATGCTGTCAACTTCTCTCAGGAGAGAAATCCACCCTGTCGTCTCAGCTGCAAATGGCAACCGAAAACTTAGAACGACAGTCGGAGAAAAACACCCTTCTCGAGAGTTCACTTTCCGATGCAAACTTCGATCGAAAACGACTTGCTGAAGAAGTGGAAAAGCTTCACTGTTTGAACAATGATCTTGAAGAGAAAGTACGATTATTAGAGAGGTCAGAGCATGAGCTTTTGGAAGCAGAACAGCTTATGATCATGATACAGAATGAGAACTCAGAGTTGCATAAGAGGGTGAAGGAACTCACCACGATGTGTGAAGAGGCTAGAGCCATAGTAGACGAGAAAGAGGACGTCGTTGTCGAACTATCCGGTGAAAGCAAATGTCGAGCCAGAGAGATAGCATCGTTGCGGGAACTAAACTTTACTTTGGAAGAAGATGTTAAGAGGCATAAACATAGGGAGAAGAGTTTGAGGTGCGAGCTAGTGAAGAAGAGAATGGAGGTTGAAATATGTGAGACTCGGGCTGCTGAACTGTTCGGTGAGCTTCAAAGCTCTGCTGTTCGAGAAATAGTGTTCAAGGGAAAGCTTCTTGAGCTCGATGAAGCATACGCGAACCTCGAAAGTCGAAGTAATTACAACATAACTGATGTAAGTGGAGAACTAGGAGTTCATTTGGCCAAATATACATCAGCAGTCACATCTTTGAATGATTCTGTAACCTATCTGGAGAATCATTCTCTTCTGTGCAGAAAAACTTACAGCTATGAGAAACAAGAAGTAAAGGTATTCATTCTCTATGATCTCATATACTTTCTTGTCCACTTTGAGCATAAGCTCTCGTGACTTTGCGTTGGACTTCCCCACGAGGCCTCATACCAATGGAGAGTCGACGTGGGAATTCCTCCCAACAATCCTCCCTTTGAACAAAGTACACTATAGAGCCTCCCTGAGGTCCATGGAGTCCTTGAACAGCCTCCCTTAATCGAGGCTCGACTCCTCTGGAGTCCTCGAACAAAGTACACCTTTTGTTCGACATTTGAGTCACTTTTGGCTACACCTTCGAGGCTCACAACTTCTTTGTTCGACATTTGAGGATTCTATTTACATGGCTAAGTTAAGGGCATTACTCTGATACCATGTTAGGAATCACGACTCTCCACAATGGTATGATATTGTCCACTTTGAGCGTAAGCTCTCATGGCTTTGCTTTGGGTCTCCCCGAAAGGCCTCATACCAATGGAGATGTAGTCCTTACTTATAAACCCATGATCATTCTCGAGACTCCCTCCCAACAATTCTCAACATTCTCGGTATGCAACTTATACTCTCTGTTTTCAGAATACTGACTCAGCAAATCATGAGCATTCTGAAGGCTTCCAGCAAATATATCACGATCTGATAGCAAGACTGCACAATGGATCTTTTGAATTGAAGGATTTGCATAGAAGGATTCAGGTTGTGGAAATGGCTGTAATCGAAAAGGTAAAACTCGAGACTCTAGAAAACATGAACTCTACTAGCAAACAAGAGATGGTAACGAGGAGAATCGAGGAAGCGGGTTGTGGAAATTACCAGACAAGGCCTACTACTCCAAGAAGAGAGATTGAACTCGGAAACGATTTACAGAGATCGAAGACGAAAGTCGTTGAAGTTAGTGGTGAAATATTGACCAAGGACATCATTCTTGATCAAATGGCCAAATGTTCTAATGGAGTTGACAACCAGATGCTAGAATTATGGGAGGCAACTGATGAGGATGGTAGCATTGATCTTATGGTACGCAAATCTCAGAGCATGGCGACGTCCTCAACTAACTATAACAGATTTGAAGTAGTCAAGGAACAAAATAAGCATCCCTCGACCGATTCGTTGGTCGAGAAAGAGGTGGGAGTGGACATATCAGAGACCTCAAGTAGATTATCCGTCCCTCTCCACAAACGAAAAGAGAGGAAGATTCTTGAACGACTCGATTCCGATATGCAGAAATTGACAAACCTTCAAATAACCATTCAAGATTTAAAGCGAATCGTGCTTACAAAGCAGAAAAGGAGTAACGCAGCGGAGTACGAGACCATGAAAGAACAACTCGAAGAAGTCGAGGCGTCTGTTATGAAGCAGTTTAACGCCAATTGCAAATTGACGAAGAACGTACAAGATGGGACATTGTCTACTGATGGAGCGACCACCATTGGATCTGCTGATGAAAGTGGAAATGTCCGCAAAAGAATCATTTCAGCTCAAGCAAGAAGAGGGTCCAAGAAAATTGGGCAGCTGCAGCTTGAGGTGCAGAGGTTACAACTTCTACTACTGAAACAAGACGACGAAAAGGAAACAAAGTCTAGGACGAGGGTCGTCGAACGACCCAAAATTCGACTGCAGGACTATCTTTATAGTAGCATTAGAAGCAAGAACAAGAACAAGAAGGGGTTATTCTGTGGATGCATGCACCCCACCATGTCTCCTAGTCCAACAATTGGTGAAAGGATTTTTTCGACTTCAATGGTAGGAAATCAGCATAGACTACATAACTTCAATGGTTAGTCGTTCGACATTCCTTTGAACCGAGTTGAAACTCGTGTATTTACTTATCTTTTCATACAGTAGGTGACTTACTTTTTTGTAGCTTTCAGAATATATGTCTATCTTAGAAGTTGTATATATTCAAGTTAATGCTGATTCTATTAAGACTTAGCTAAGATTGGAGAGTTGCTGTGTAAGTGGTTGATATCTTTAAACACAACAACAAGGCTAGCTCTAAGGACAAGATCTTTTGACAAAACAAGTCTATTTTGAGCCACCGAACCATACGACCGATGTGAAACCCATTTGAAGTAAAGCTGTAACCGCTCAAACCCAAGCTCACCGCTAGCAGATATTATCTTCTTTGAGTTTTCCCTTCACAGTTTTTAAAACGCATCTGCTAGGGAGAGGTTTCCACACCTTTATATAAAGAATGTTTTGTTCCCTTCTCCAACTGACGTGGGATCTCACAATAGACGCGTAATGGAGAAGCCCATGAAAGGAAGCCCAAAGTCGCTTGGGTTGTTACAAATGGTATCAGAGCTAGACATCGGACAGTGTGCCAGCGAGAATACTGGCCCCCAAGGAGGGTGGATTGTGAGATCCCACATCGGTTGGAGAAGGGAACGAAACATTCCTTACAAGGGTGTGGAAACCTTTCCCTAGTAGATGCGTTTTAAAACCTTCAGAGGAACGCCTTGAAGGGAAAAGTCCAAAGAGGACAATATCTATTAGGGGCGGTGTCGAGCCCTTACAAAGGCAAGGGGGAACTCGATAGGAACTTGATAACAAATAAGATTCCCCGACTGCAAGAAGACGAGACATCCAACCAAAGGCCCCTGATTTTGATGCAAAAAAGGACTAATCTTGAACAAGAATCTACCTATACAAAGCAGGCAAGGGCTCCCTAACCTAAACAACCTAAACAGGCAACACAAAAACTCAGGATTGCCCTGAAAAACATACATAAAAATACTTCATTCATCCTCATTTCCTTGATGAAATTTTGCTTTCTTGGGACCTGCTTCATAATCTCTTCCTTTTTCTTTCCCAAGTTCCTTGCTTTAGTTTCTACTTTTTCATATCACTTTTGAAAATTCTTTTAATCCACCTTTCTAGTTTTCAAATTTTGAACAAGAATCTTGAACATGTAGACTACCAAAAGGAATGTTTTGATAAAAGGAACTTCACTAGCCGCCCTTAAATGTGCCATCAGTCACTTGAATGTGCTATCAGTCCCTTAAATGTGCTATCAGTCCCTTAAATGTGCTATCAGTTCCTATCTCTTACACTTATCCACTGTAATAAAAGGGCTGCCGTTTTACCACGCCATGTGGCACCTATTTCTGGTTTCATTCGGAGATGGGAATCTCAGAATGTCTCTATTGATTAGGATAATATGGACAAAGTTGCAGAATTCACTTTGTAGTAGACTCCCTCTCTCACAAGAGAGACGTCAACGCCTTTCTGTTGAGATTGTTGGGAGAGAGTCTCACGTTTGTTAATTTAAGAAGTAAGAAATACATCTCCATTGCTACGAGGCCATGAGAGCTTATGCTCAAAGTGGACAATATCATACCATTGTGGAGAGTCGTGATTCTTAACATGGTATCAGTGCTATGCTCTTAACTTAGTTATGTCAATAGAATCCTCGAGTGTTAGAACAAAGAAGTTGTGAGCCTCGATAGTCAAAAGTGTCTCTCAAGTGTCGATGATATGAAAATCAACCCAAGGGAAAGTATGAAATGGATTACCTTGATGATCAAGATCAAAAGTAAAGAAAACTCATTTCTAAACTCTGTAATTCGAATCACTCCACAAGAGGTTTGATCAATACCACTTGAATGACTCTAGCATATAAGTTCTAAACACAAGAATTTGCAAAGAAAAACTTAGCTCTCAACAAAGCTAAAATAGAAATTATATTCTTAATTCCAAAATCTGATGTCTCTAATCAAAGAAAGAAGGCTTTGTATAGCCTTTGCAATCTTAACCAATGTGATACATAACTCCTAAATTAAATGGGATGGTAAATAAGAAATACCCATAGCTTCCATATTAAAATGGCTAGTTAATAGTGAAATATGGTAACGTACGTGGGTTATAATATAACCTTTAACTCCTATATTTAAAACTAGCTTAAATATGACAAATAAATAATTAAATTATAATTAATAGTGCAAGGGATGAAATGTGCTTATTAGTCATCTTTGAACTAGTTTCATAAATTCAGCTGAGTTCATTAAATGCAATTTAAAGTGCATTTAATTCATCTCTTTCTAGAAGCTCAACTTTGCCCAACATATAAGGGAGGTCTCCAATGTCTTATAGAATTTCGTTTGATGAGCTCACCATAACTTGAATACAAGTGTATAAGGTTTGTTGTAACTTTTTGGCTCTCGTCCTTGTAATTGGACCTTGAGGTATGGAAATTCCTTAGTCGTGGTTCATATCAGTCGAACAAAGGGTGTATTTTGTTCGAGGACTCCAGAGAAGGAGTCGAGCCTCGATTAAGAGGAGGTGGTTCGAGGGCTCCATAGAGCTCGGGGGAGGCTGTATAGTGTACTTTCTTCGAGAGGAGAATTGTTGGGAGGAAGTTCAAAGCAAAACCATAAGAGATTATACTCAAGTGGACAATATCATACGATCCGTGATTCCTAACACTATAGCCGGACATAGCGGTAGCGACCCCTCAAAGTGCTTAATAACACAAAAGAGCAACAAAACAATGCAATAGACCGGCATGTCTAAAAGAGCATAGAGAAAAGGAAGCAAGTGGAATAAAGGTCTCTCCAAAAGCAAGAACTAAGAAACAAACTAAGCTTGATCAGCACCAGAAAATTATGAAGAAGACTGATCTGATGATGAAGATGGTACAAGCAGTCACGCGGGTTGTAGCATATGTCACTCTCCATTCTCCATCTTCAACAGCTTTCTCATTCAAAGGCTGAACTGTGGGAACCCATTGGATCAGCCCCAATTTTGTCTCTACCTTAAAACATGTCTGCTTACGACATAACCAACCTCTGTCATAATGTTGGGAAATTTGTCCTTTTTCAATTTTCGCTTGAGGTTTTAAAACATAGAAATGTTTCGTTTTTCTTTCCAATTGATGTGGGATCTCACAATCCACCCCTTGTAGGCCCAACGCTTGCTGTCTGGCTCTGATACCATTTGTAACCGTCCAAACCCACTGCTAGCACATATTGTCCTCTTAGGCCATTTCCTTCCTTCGGTTAGAGTCCGAGATTTTCGGACTTTTGTAAGGAATGCTTCGTTCTCCTAATCGAGGTGGGATCTCACAGTCTTGCCCCTTCCTTAGGTCCCGTTTTATTGAATAATTTGTTCGAGTAGGTTGATGGGGCCGAGTGTATTTCAGAAGTGGGCCAAATTTGGAGCAGAGGTTGATGGGAAGTGTCTGTGGTGAAGTTCAAAGTTTGAAAATGGGTTTGTGGGTGAGGCCTATTCCTCCTCCTTCTCCTATGCCTTCATTTAAACGTTGGAAGAGAAGAGAAAAGGATAAGAAAATAAATGATTGATTTGGGATCTCGGGACATTTCCAAAAAGAAAACAATGGAATTTCACTCATTTTAATGGAATCCACTTTCTTCGGTCAAAACCTTATTCATTTCCTTTCCTTTCTTTCTTTCAAAACAATCTTAGTGATTCATAGGACCCTATAAAGTCTTCACATTTAGAACCTTCATACAAATTCTTTTCCTATTCCCACTTTAAAATTTCTCTAATTTAAACATTAATGGTTTAAAACTAGAACAAGGCTTGGGTCGGATCAGTGTGTCGGTGACCTGGAATGGAAACTACGACTTCAACACTACTATAGGTCCCAATTCTAATCGAGCAATCTATCTAGTAACCCTAGTCGACGACATATGATGCATTTTCTTTGGTACAGCATTTTGTTTTACAACTCATCTCACTCTATTAAGAACAAAAAAAAAAAAAATGGTTCTTTTGGTTTGATGATGGGTTAATTGATTTTTACCTTTTTCTAATATAATGATGCGTTACTTTGCTTAAAGGAGATAACTTTCTTTACGAACACCTGATTTTCTGATCTGGGTTCGGCTAAACAACGTTTGTTTGCTTAAATGTGTCGCCTTTTTTGTTCTTAATTTTGATGTTTTGGGAAAGAAAAAGCAATTAAAGATGGAAAAAGGGCATGAAATGAAAGCATAGAAGGAAGGAATATATGATTAAAGGTGAGAGACATATTAGAGGAGGGGAGCCCAACTTTTTGACTTACCCAAAGGCTCATTTTGAGAAAGACTCTTAGGGATGTGTGCATTTTGGCCATTATACCTTCTCTTTCTCTTTTTCTTTCTCTTTTTCTAAAGCAATAACCCTAATCAACACCTCCTCATTTCATATTTCATAATCCCCCAATTATTTCTCCAATATCCATCGACATCCTTTCCACTTGTAGGGCATCAGATTTTTAACATCATTTACATCACTTTTTCTTTTAATCAAAACCCAAATATCTGCACCGTTGAACGAACTCATAGCTAGCTGGTTTTCTCGAAATAGCAGTTAACTGAACATCTAAGGATAAAGCACTGTTTCGATATCAAATCAAGGCAAACTCTGAATTCTAGATATGATCTCAAAATAACAGGGGAACAGGGGTCAAGGTCCTAAACCTGTACTTGAGAGATAGTTATCCTTATACTGACAAAGGAGGTATGAATTAGTAATCTTAATTTTCGCCCTAAATCACTGTTTCACGCTGTTTGGTGGTACTTCATATTTGATTCAAGCTCGAGTAAGATTGCATCTTTTAATGGAATATAAACAAAAGGCAAATTGATGGGGTTTTTTTTTTCTTTCACATTTTGAGAAGAACATTGGTAAATAAACAGAGTAAAGGTTATCCTGAGTGAAAACTAGAAAACTTTATCTTTTTTTTTCCTTAGAGGTCACATGCAAAATTTGACTAGTGTATACCCCACATGTATTCATTATTTGAGCATCTCTTGAAAATGAACAAAGATTAAATCTTTAAAGGCCAAAGGGCAAAGCATAAAACCCAAACTCCCATGCCAAGCTCCCACACTCTGTTTTCTTCACAAACAACACCCAAGACCCTCTCTTCACTACTAGTTCAATGGATGATTCTTACTCACTCAAAGGGTGTAGAACTCACTTAC